GTGAATCAGAAGAGCTGATAATCAGGGCACCTGGGTGGCTCAGTGGGTTGGAGCCTCTGCCTTCAGCTCGGGTCATGATCTCAGGGTCCTGGGATTGAGCCCTGCATTGAGCTCTCTGCTCGGCAGGGAGCCTGCTTCCCTTCCTCTCTCTCTGTCTGCCTCTCTCCCTGCTTGTGATCTCTGTCTGTCAGATAAACAAATAAAAATATTTAAAAAAAGAAGAGCTGATAATCATGAAGTTGTACAACACCCATCACTAATTTTAGAGCATTGTCATTATGTCCCAAAGAAATCCCATACTTATAGCATTCGCTACTCATTTTCCTTGCCCTCAACCAGCTTGAGGCAACATAAAACTTACTTTCTACCTCTACAGATTTACCTATACTAAACATTTCATATAAGTGGAATCTTATAATATGTGGTATTTTTTAAAAAATTCTTTCACTTAAGATAATATTTTCAAGGTTCATCCACATTGCAGCCTGTGTAAGAACATAATGTTTTATTGTTAAGTAATATTCCGTTGTATGGACATACATTTTATTTATCCATTCATGACCTGATAGACATAAGGGTTGTTTTTATGTTTGACTATTATGAATAATGCTGTTATGAACATTTGTGCGCAAGTTTTTGTGAATATATATCCTCATTTCTCTTGAATATATACCTAGTAGTACATGTTTCACTTTTTAAGGAACTGTCAGACTGTTTTTAAAGTGGCTACACCATTTTACATTCTATCAGCAATGTACAGGGTTTCAAATTTTCCACATCCTTGCCAATACTTGTTTTTATCTGTCTTTTTGATCATAGCCATCCTGCTGGGTATGAATGACATTTCATTGTGGTTTGGATTTGCATTTTCCTGATGTCTAATGGTATTTAGCATTCCTTTATGTGCTCAACATCTGTATATTCTATTTGAAGAAAGTCTATTCACATTCTTTACCCATTTTTTAATTAGGTAGCTATTTTATAATTGAATTCTCAAGAGTTCTGTATATATTTTAGATATAAGTGCCTTATAAGGTACAGCGTTTATGGACATTTTCTCCTATTCTGTGCGTTGTCTTCTCACTCTTTGATGGTGCCTTTTGAATTACGAGGGTTTACAATTTCGATGGTTCAGTTTATCTATTTTTTCTTTTGTTGCTTATGGTTTTAGTGTTGTATCTAGGACACAATTTCATTACCCAAGGTCATGAAGTTTCATAGTTTTAGCTCTTACACTTAGATCTGATTAATTTTTTTAAAGATTTTATTTTATTTTTATTTTTTTAGAGACAGAGGAGAGGGAGAGGGCAGAGAAAGAGGGAGAAAGAGAATCTTAAGCAGTCTCTACACCTAGCACAGAGCCTGACTCAGGGCTGGATCTCATGACATTGAGACTGTGACCTGAGCCAAAGACAAGAGTCAGACACAACCAACTTAGCCAATCAGGTGCCCCCTTTGATTAATTTTGTAATTGATTTTAATGTATGTTGTGATATATGGGTATAGCTTTCTTTTCTGTTACATGTGGATATTTTATTGGCCCCAGCACCATTTCTTTGAAAATATTTATCTATATCCATTGAATTATTTTGGCACTCTTGTTGAAATGAGCTGACCATTCTTTTGAAGGTTTATTTTTGGACTTTTAAATTCTATTCTGTTGACTTATGTCTATCCTTATACCAGTGCCACATTCTCTTGTTATCATAGCTTTTTTTTCTTTATCATGAAGGAATGTTAGATTTCTCAGGATCCATTGAGATGTTCATATGGCTTTTGTCCTTTTGTATTATATGATATATTACATTGGTTGATTCTTGGATGTTAAACCAACCTTGCATTTCTGGGATAAATCCCTCTTGGTCATGGTATACAATCCTTTTTATTTGTTGCTGGTATCAGTTTGCTTATATTTTGTTGAGGATTTTTTTTGCATTTATATTCATAAAAGATGTTAGTGCATAGTTTTCTTTTCTTATGATATCTTTGTCTGGTTTTGATATCAGTAATCATGACCTTGTAGAGTAAGTTGGGAAGTGTTCCCTTCTCTTAAAGTTTTTGGAAGAGTTTGTAAAGAGTTGGTATTAATTTTTAAGTACAAGCGTTTGGATTTTTTTACAGCTTGCTTTATAGTTTACCCTTTGCTATTGTTCAGTTGCAGGTGGGGTTATAAATGGGAGCAGGAAGATGGTGTTTAAGGCTGATCATCCCTTGTAGAATAATTGGCAGTGAAAGGACAGGACTCCAGATAAAAATGTTGAGTCCTCATTCTTCCTACTTCTAAACCGTGCTGGATTGTCCTACTGGAGGACATTCTTAATGGCAGAAACAAATTACAAAGGCTTTTATATCTTGAATTCTGAACCATAGTTGGAAGATACCTTTCAGTGCTGTTTTCCTCATTGGAGCCATGGGTACAAGCCCAACTTACTGTCCTGACTTTAAGAAAATTACCTGTAATTTATTGCTACAAATTTATATTTAAAAAATCATTTAAACAAAACAAATGACTGAAAGGAAAGTAATGAAAGTGAGATTGGCAAACCAAGAAACAGACTTTTAATGTAGAGAACAAATTGATGGTTACCAAAGGGGAGGTGGGTGGAGGGATGAGTTAAATAGGTAATAGGAATTAAGGAATGCACTTGTGATGAGCATCAGGTGTTGTATAGAAGTGTTGAATTACTATACTGCACACTTGAAACCAATATTACACTGTATGTTAACTAACTGGAATTCAAATAAAAACCTTAAAAAAAGAGAGAGCCTGTTTACCTGAATTCCTCTTGAGTAGGAGAGTCTGAGAACAAGGAGAGCGTTTGTTGAATCCCAGACATCATGTAAGGTAATCCGAACAATAAATATTTAGATTGTCTTCCTACATGTTTCAGAGTACTTTTGGTCATTAATCATTCTACCAACTCAGTGGAAAAATTGCACTGAAGAAATAATAACTAATATTTATTAAATAATTATAATGTGCCAAATACCATTTTAAATTCTTTCTATATACTATCTTTTATCCTCACAGCAATATTATGAAGTCAATATTAATATTATTCTCCACTTAAAAGATGTGGAAACTCAGAAGCAGAGAGGTCATGCGGGTTGCTTCATGTATTGGTAGAGCCAGTATTTGACTTTGATTATGGGACCCCACAGCCCACCGTGAACCAGAAGTTAGAGTGGATTAGGCATATTCCAGAGCAGGGGTTCAGCTTCAGGGTTCAGCTTCATAATTTTTGAGTTTATAAGTCATTTGTTTCTCTCTTGATGAAGACTAACATTTAAGATCTTCATAGAGGGTGTGCTAAGATGGTCCCAAGGATTTTAGATGAGACCGTCTCCCTCTGTAGGGATGATGTAACAGACAAGTTAACAAAATAAATGTTTAATATTTATTGAGTGCTATGTTTCATGGCAAGTGAATCACTTGTATAAATTAATTGAATCTGCAAAGTAACTCTGTGAGTTAAGTATTATTATCACTTTTATTTATAGATGAAACCACTGAAGCAAGTATATATGCTTTGCCCAAAGTCAGTTAGCAATAAGTTCCATAACCCAGATTTGAACCTAGATAGTTTTGCTCCTCAGTCTCTGTTCTTAATCATTTTGCTATGCAATTTCTCTAAGTAAGTAAATAGTCACCAGACATAATTGTCACAACAGTGTAGTCACACCAAGAAAGCAGTGATAAGACTGGATCATTCATGTTTATGCATGGGGAGGTTGGAGTCACTTCTACAGAAGAGAAATATGCTATGGCTGAGAGGAGGAGAAAGGGTTTCCTACAAATATGAGGCAACATGAAACAAACATGGAAGTAGGAAAGAAAAATTACTTTTAAGAGGGAGACTGTTAGCTTGTGCCTTCACAGAAGATGGAAATAGGCTGATAGGGCGTGGTGCACACTGGGAAACCTGTGCCAGCTTGGTCCTGAGGGAGTTGTGGTTTGGGAAGGTTTGGAGTCCTACCTCAGGATCGAAAAGGGGCAGTCTGAAAGAGCAACTTTTGGAAATGAGTTTGATAAACTCAATTAGCACGTATAGAGGTTGGATCAACAATAGATTAACAGAAACTTAAATGATAAGTGTTTTTAGTAATCTAAGAAGCATATGGAAATTACCAGGAAAAACTTGACTGTTGGGGTAATATTTTTGTTTTAGTGCCAAAATTCTCCCGGTTTTCATTTTCTTGTAGCGGTTAAATCAGAGACTGGGATTTATTCAGCACTGTTCTTCATGGAAGCACAAACATTTCCCATAGTTCTACAGTTTTCCTGCAAAACATTCTACCACCAGTGCTGGGCTGCATGTTTGGATCTCTGTGGTTGAGAGGGAAGAGATTATCCCCAGAGCTTGTCCATGACCAGAGAGCTGGATTTATGTGGGCAGTTTTCTTCCAGCAGTGTGGGTCTTCTGGTCTGTAGCCTTGATGAACTTCAGAGCTTTCTTTGTCTTCTTGAACACATATGTTCACTCACCTCTTGGTCCTGAAGGCATTGTTAATGTTCTTTTCAGTTTGAGGCAATTTGTAACTTTAAGGGATCATCAGAGTATCAAAATAAATTTCACATAGTGTTTTTAATGAGATGATCATTAAGTTGAAGTTTCTAAGTTATTTTTAACAAAAAGGTAAATTCACATCAAAAGCAAATAAACCAATGTTGCCCACCCATCCCAGTTCTCATAAGCAAACTCTCACTGGAGAGTCAAATGCCAAATACAGACACTTAAAAAATACTTTTGGTCCATTTTTACTTTAAAAAAAAATTTTATTTATTTATTTGACAGAGAGAGATCACAAGTAGGCAGAGAGACAGGCAGAGAGAGAGGGGGGAGCAGACTCCCCTTTGAGCAGAGAGCCTGATGCAGGGCTCAATCCCAGGACCCTGAGACCATGACCTGAGTTGAAGGCAGAGGCTTAACCCGCTGAGCCACCCAGGTGCCCCAGTCCATTTCTACTTTTAAGGTAACCTGATGCCTTCTTTTCTCAAGTCCTCACACAGGTATTCAGGAATACCAGGATGGTGTGCCAAAAATCCCGACAGCTTGTATTACAGTGGAAGATGCAGAGATGATATCCCGGATGGCTTCTCGTGGGAACAGAATTGTTATTCAGCTGAAGATGGGGGCAAAGAACTACCCAGATGCTGATTCCTTCAACACTGTAGCAGAGATCATTGGCAGCAAGTACCCAGAGCAGGTGAGTGAAGGAGGTACATGGGCTGTCTGGGAACAGAAACTCATCCAAGGCAGGGTCTTTATTTTTTCTCCCCCCACCAAAAGTTTTACTTCTTAGTAATCTAAGAATGAAATAGGATCCATGGTGTGTGTGTGTGTGTGTGTGTGTGTGTGTGTGTGTGTGTGTTATTTATTCCATTCGGAGCCACGTTGGCACTTGAGATCATACCAATAGCTAATATTTATTGTGCTTATTGTGTGGATTGTGTTATTTGAGTCTTTCAGAACTCAGTGAAGTAGGATTTATTTTTATCATTTCAAAGGTGACATAGAAAGAAACTCAGGTCCACACAGCTAGTAAGTGACTGAGAAGGAACTCAAAACCAGCACCTTATAAATGTTATCAAGTTTTAGACCACAATAATTTCCTATTTTTTTTCCTTAGCAAAGTTTGAAAATCAAATAGTACTAGAGGTAGATTCAGACTATGCTAACTGAAGGTTAAATAAGTTTAGCAAGTTACTTATTCTCCGAGTCTTAGAGAACTTGTCTGCAAAGAAGGGATGGTCTATGTAATGTAGCAGGATTATCGCGATGTCTCAATGAGCCCCAGTCCATCACATAGCCTAGCACAGTGTTTGGTAGAGTGCAGACACTCATTGAATGGAAGTTTACTTCACATGACATCGAGTGTACAAAAAAACCCAGTTCTGATAAGATGTCTGGTGCAGATTTCCTCTATTAGTAATTATTGAAATGCTGAAAAATAGCACTTAAAGATCAAGTTATTCTAGAATTACAGACTTGTATTTTGCTTAAAGGAGTAAATGGGATGAAAGAAAAAGTGAATAGTGGTGGAGAAACAAACCTTCTGTACATGTCTTTATTCAGGACCTCTCCTAGTCATAAGGGCTCTGTTGCAGTGAGGATTTGTATTATGTTCAGGTCCTTTTTTTCCTTCCCAAAATACATCCAGGATGTGGGCATGCATCAGCCTTAGGCTTGTAGCTACAGGAATCATGGAAAAGCAAGATCTCAGTAGGACCCTTGGGAGTCAAATAGCTATAGACAAACTCTAGTTTTCAATGTAGAGAAAAGAAACAAATAAGCCCCTTGCCCTTTAGGAACCTGATAACAGCAGAAGAGCCCAGAGTCTATGTTCCAGTTTCCAAGGAGTCAGACTCCTTAAAGTATATAATCCTTACCAGGTATGTTCCCCAGTTAGTAGTTCCAGGATAAAGTGTTGCCATTTTTAAGGCTGCTAGTCCAGGGCAGGGGGGTTTAGGATTATCTGTGATCAGTTGTCTGGGTGAACAGCCTGCTGTGGCCCCGAGGCTGGGTGGCAAGATGAGAATGAGTTATTGGGAGCCTTAGTCTCAAACAGCCAGGGGGTGTCAAGGTCTGAGCTAAAGCATTAAAGCAGGGGAGTTCTTGGGGCTGTAGCGGCCTGAAGGCTGAAGTCATGCTGGCTCACACGGCTTCCTAAGAGCCACTGACATCTCCTGGTTGGGAAGGCTTGGGCCTATTCCTCAGCTCGGGCTGATTGAAAAAAAAAAAAAAATCAGCTTTACAGAAATATAATTACATAAATTTACCAAATTTAAGTGTATAATTCAATGAGCTTTGAAAAATGTACGCAGCAATGTAACCACTACAGCGCTCACAATAGGGAATGTTTTCATTACTCCAAACATTGCCTCGTGTGCCTTTGCTGTCCATCTCCTCCTCCACTCCCCTGCCCCCTGATAGCTACTGATCCACTTTCTAGATCTAGAGTTTTTTCTTCTCTAGAATTTCATAAAAGTGGAGCCATAGAACGTGTAGTCTTTTGAGTCTAGCTTCTTTCACTCACATATAGTGCTTTTGAGATTAATCCATGTTGTTTTATCAATTGTCTATCCCTCTATATTGCTGCTGAGTGATATTTTATCACATGGATATACCACAATTTGTTTATCCATTCAGCAGTTGGACATCTGGTTGGTTTCTAGTTTTTGACTGTTACCAGTAGATCTTCTGTGAATATTTTTGTGCAAGTCTTTCTGTGGACCTACGTCTTCATTTCTTGTTGGGTAAATGCCTAAGAGTAGAGTTGCTGAGTCAGCCTGAATATTTAGCATGCTGATCTCCATCAGGATGCTTCAGTCCGTGTATTCTGGTGGGGATAGCATCTTCTCTAGGTGGGTGGATTCCAGAGAGTTCCCAAGACTCAGGATTAAACTTTTACCTCTACCATAGCATTGCATAGCATTCCAGAAGTGGGTTATAAGTATGGTGTTACCAAGATATACAAGGTAGAAAATTAACAAAAGTTTTCCCACGAAGAAGTCACAGTATTACTTCCACAGAAGAAATGGAGATGAGTGCAATGAAGTCTATGTGACTATTTTGGGGGAGGAATCTGCCTCAGAGTCTGTGTGAAACCACAGGGGATGTCCAGACTGTGAAGGAAGGCAGCAAGCATGTGTTCTTCTCTCTAGGCATTAGGTGAGTTAAGCAACCTGAATAAGCATAGTCCATCCCTGATCAATGCTTACCCCTTCCATGAAGCTTCCTCGGGTAACCCTGACCTCATCTCAGCACTATATGCTCTTATGTCATCTCCCGCCAGAGCTTGCTAAGGCCCCGAGCAGATAGTCTGTTTACTTTTTTTGCTTTTCACTAATGCTTATCCCAGGACTTGGCATGTAGTAGCTTTCAACACATATTTTTTTTAAGATTTTATTTATTTGACAGATAGAGATCACAAGTAGGCAGAGAGGCAGGCAGAGAGAGAGAGAGGGAAGCAGGCTCCCTGCTGAGCAGAGAGCCTGATGTGGGGCTCGATCCCAGGACCCTGAGATCATGACCTGAGCCGAAGGCAGAGGCTTTAACCCTCTGAGCCACCCAGGCGCCCCTCAACACATATTTTGTTTTAGTAAAATGAAGAGAGGAAGTAAAGGAGAAAGTGGCTGGAGAATTTTCTTAATCTCAATTCCTTTTAAATCTAGAAGTTCTCCTGCCCATGTAGAATACTGATTGTCCATTGACATATTGGACATGACCCCTAAATGCAGCTATTGTCCAAAGCTGAACATGTCAACTCCTTCGATCCTGATCACTTGCCTTAGTTTCTGTCTCTGCAAAAGGAGCCGTGTTTACCTGCCAGCACAGTGAGTTAGTTTTCATTTTCTCCTCTTTATCACTGACCTGTGGCTGACACCCATCCTATTAAGTGTCCTAATTCAGGCCCTTGCTATTCCCCCCTGATTTTACTTCTGATCTCTCCCCTGTTTTTGCCATAAAGCTCAGAGCTGTTTGAAAACCTTGATCTCCACCTGGTGTTTCCTGCTGTCAGACCCCACCTCCTGTTCCCTATAAAATAAAGGTTATGATACAGATAAATACTGGGGTGAGTAATGAGAGGTGAGCAGAAGACAGAGGAAAAGAGACATGCAGGGAGGGAGGCAGGTATAGGTAAGAGGAAAGTACGTAGCAGAAAACGAATGCTCAGAAGCAAGCAGAAAATGAGAGTGAAGGAGGGAAAGGAAGCGTCTGCTGGGGATTCAGATGCCTCCCAAGAACCATTCTCTCTTTGGCCAGTAAGGGAGTCTAGCTCTCCTCAACCCTGGCAAACATTCTGAAAATCGCTCAGCTTTGTTTTTAATTGTAAGTATGGTAGTCCTGCCTTATCTGAGGTTTGCCTTCCACGGGTTCAGTTACGTGTGGTCAGCCGCAGTCCGGAAGCTGATGCTCCCTCTTCTGACGTAAGGTCAGCTCAGTAGTAAGTGAAGGCCAAATCCCATGCCTACGCCATTCCCCTCAGTGTGGCTCATCACGTAGGCATTTCATCCTCACACCTCCTTGTAAGAAGAGTGAGGCCAGTACAGTAAGGTATTTTGAGAGAGACACCATATTCACATGACATTTATTACAGCATGCTGGTATAATTGTCCTGTTCTATTATGTTATTATTGTTAAGCTCTGTGCCGAATTTAGAAGTTAAACTTTATCATAGGTGTGTGTACAGGAAGAAATATAGTATATATAAGGTGCAATGTTATCCATAGTTTCAGGCATCTACCGGATGAGTCAGAGGACTCTTGGAATGTGTCCCCTGTGGATAAGGAGGGGACTACTGTAATGGCCACAGTGACATAAACATTGAGTTGTTTCAGGTGGCTAACTTATCTCTGACACATCCTCTCTACCTTGCTCTCCCTATCGCACTGAAGAAGAGTGTTCAATAATGCTGAGCAAGTTACTTGCAATGGAAATTAGCTCTAAAAAGAAAGAGGGTTTATTGCACTTTCTTATCATTCTGCTTGCAGATCGAACATCCTGGGTGACTAGAGGGTAGGCTCACATTCACACAGTGGCTGACAGACGTCCTTCAGGACTAGCACCCAGCACAACCCCTTCTATCTCATTATTCACACACAGCACTTTGAGGAAAGAAAAGCAGTTAGCACATAGAGAATCCCTCTGATTTGGCCCAAGAACCATGGACAAGGTGTGGTGATTTTCAGCTCTAGAAAAGTATATGTGATTGATGAGGCATTGACACATTTTGAAACCCTGTTGCATAATTCAGCCATAAGCTTTAAGTTCTGAATTAGCAATAGGCTTTTAAAAATGCCAATAATACAAATACTTTATTGAGTTTCAATATGTGAAAATGGCCGAAGAGGGGTATTATGTTCATTAATTCTACTCTCCTCCCAAAGAACCCACAGTGACATGTTTTGGGTCTTCCAAGCCCAGAATCATGCCAGTGTCAGGGGGACCCTGTCCTGACAGTAGCCCGAATAACCCTTTCCTGTGATGCTGCCAGGGTCCCTCACTCCAACAAACAGGCAAACACACAAGGAGGGTTGTGCTCAAACTGACCTGACAAAAGGGCCGATGACCTGAAACTAGGGAGTTAGTGCACCTGTAGGACAGACTCTCTCCTGAGAACAGACTCTCCAGTGTTGACTCTTGGGGCTGGCCCATTTCTTCTGCTCTTCAGTGATTTTACTAGGCCTTACTATATTCCAGAAG